CCATATAATATAGTTGTTTTTCTTATGTAATTTATCTTGTCTTTCTGGCTACTGTTAAAATCCTCTTACTCTTCAGGTTCATTATAATGTATTATGATTTGTGTTTAATTTTACTTAATTTACTTGAGGTTTTATGTATTTCCTGAATCTGAAAGCCTGTATCTTTCTGTCAAAAACCTAGCTATTATCTCGTCATATATCCCCTCTCCCCATTCTTCTATTAACTTCTTTTGGAAATTCAGTTAAATCATTTTTGATCTTACTGTTCTATTTTCTATATTTCTTTACTCTTTTATATTTTTCATCTTTATCTTTACTGCATTCTGTGTGATTTCTTTCAGGTCTTTCAGTTCACTGATTCTTATCTCATCTGTGTCTAACCTAACCTTTAACTTATTCATCAAGTTACTTTTTTCACGGCTCTGTTGAGGTATTCATTGCATAAAACAAACTGCATGTGTTTACAGTGTACAGTTTGATAGGTTTTGACATATGTATGTGTGACTATGTGAAATCATCACTACAATCAAGATGAGCCTACCACTTCCTCCCAAAGTTTTCTCCTACTCCTTGATAATCCTTTCCATCTGCCTCTTCCCAAATCCTCAAGCAACCTCTGATATGCTTTATGTCACTATAGTTTAGTTTGCATTTTCTAGAATTTAGTGCAATAAAATCAACTTTTTAAGCCACTTTAAACAAATTTAAACAAAATCCAAGGTTGGTATATCTTGGATCACATAGGAAGTGAGAATTAGGGCCCCAAATAGGTGTAAGGGCTGACTTTGTAGGTTAGAATCCCCAGGGACAATATCCTTGTTTACTTGGTGGGGGGTAGGGGGGCATTTATGTTTTAGTTCACCTTTCTAATACTGGTACAGCCCTCGGTGGTTCTGGCTTTACCTGAAGACCTCTAAATCAGCTTCTCATCTTACAAAGTCCTTGATTTTATCCTCTGTGCCCCCTACTCCAAGTCATTAAAACCAAAGCCTGGCATCACTGGGTGTACATGGATGCTCTCGGGGACTGCTGCCCTCAGCATTCCCTTAAACACTCAGGGTTTGTTGCTCCCATCTTACCTGTGATCACTGACAAAAATTACATCTACCTCTTGAAAGCTAAGGTATACATTTGAAAAAATAGTTTGAATATTTTATTTGTGTTTTAATTTTATAGTAGAATTTTTAAAGGGATATTTAGTCCACCTTATTCCAGAAATGGAAGTGAGCAAAATATCTTCTCAAGCTTCATAAAAACATCTAACACTTACAGTTTTCCCTCCTTAGTAGTTCTCAAACATAACTCAATCTAGTGCTTGAGAGGCTACAGCACAATCTCCTCTGGCATTTGTTCAGAAATTTGACTTCTCCTCATACCTACAAATTAGAATCACTCTCCAGGTGTAAGTTTAGGAATCTGAAGTTATGGAGTTCCTCAGGTGTTCATATCCTCCACCAAGTTTGTAACCCATTACACTTCTATTCTTGGAATAGCACAGAGTCCTCAATAAAATCTTCTATGTCCTTAGATCATCAATGGTATTGTTTTCTTCAAACAAGAGGTCATTTTTACACTAGCACACTTTTAATTTCCTGGACATACATCCATTTTGTCTCTAAAGCTCTAAGTTTTGTTAAAGGAACAGTTCAAATTTCCCATATTCAAAATTCCCACTTTCCTAGACAGTCTTTGTTGACCTCAACCATCCGCTGCAGTGAATGTTGCTGAGGATCTGAGTGACAGGCAAGAAAGCATCATATTTGGCACACCCCTTTGAATAAAACTCAGGCATCTGTGGGCTCTTCACTGAAATATGAAGGGAAGCTTTGACTGCTCATGCCCAGGTCCAGAAGCCTGTAGTGCTGGCCCTCTGCAGGCTGCAGCTGCCCCAGCTTTCCTGGCCATCCCTGCCCTTTGCGGTTTTCTGCTTCATCCATCTCACCAGCACTATCATGTGAGGTGACTGGTCACATTATATTATATTTAGGAGAAAATCTTTCTCTGACTTACAATATGCAAATGTTATTCATCAGATGCTGGCTCTGCAGCTGTTGCCTTTTGGAGGTCCTAGCCAATTTTACTTGGTGTGAAAGATTAAAATGGAATCTTGAGTTAACACACAACCGAGGCAATCAGAGAAATCAGCTCAATCTAATGTTTAATTCTATATTTTGTACTATGTGAAACCCACGAGGAAATGGATGCTTGTGGGCCATTGTAATTAGGGCAATAGACCTTCATCTGGCCTTTTTCAGTTAAAATTTAAAATTTTGAGTAAAGGGATGTAATTTTTTTATATTGCCTGTCATCTCAACACAGGAGTCTTTATTATGAAGTGAGCATTTAGATTTTATGTCATGGAAGGGCTGTTTGCTGTCTTTCTGTAAGCCAGTAGGTTTAACAATATTAATTTGCCCTAGTGTGAAGAGGTTTTAGGATCCCCTGTGTGTTTAACATTCTTTAATCCCCTTGTGTCAATCCCTTTAAGAAAAGCTTATCACTTTCATATGATAACAGGTTTTAGGGGTTTTGCAAAAGTTGCTCTCCCCTGTAGTTACTGAGTCATTGAGCACATAACTCCAGAAAGAGAGAAAAAATGGTAAATTACACAGCAGTAGATCTTCAACAAATACTTGTCAATGATTACCTGTTTATTACTTGACACTAATTTCTTTCACCAGGGAATAAAAAAGTTTTGGAAATCTAATTACTTCTATTTCCTTCCTTCTTTCTCTGCTTCCCTCCCTAGCCCCCCTCTGTCCTTCCTTTCTTTTTATTCATTCAGATATTTATTAAATGCTTTTTATGTGACTATTTTAGGGACTGAGAATATATCAATGAGTTAAATCCTTGCCCTCATGGAGTTTACTTCTAGTGTAAAAGAGAAAAAACAAAAACACACAGATGAACTGATGTAGGCATTTGTAGGTCATAGAAACTATTTTGGATTCTTTGCCCAAGTACTATAGGAAGCTATTGACTATTTGAGAAAAAAGAATGACAGGATTTATCTTTTACAGGCTCTCTCAGATTGCTGTGTGAAGATTGTTAGTAATGAAGCCACTGGTGGTAGTAAGGTCACTAGTCAGGAGGTGAAAAATATCAGTGGCTTAGCTGTGGAGGAAGTGAGAAATATATATTCATATTTCAAATCTAAAACCTATAGGACTTACTGACAGTTGGTTATAAAGTGTAAAAAAGAATAGAGTCAAGGACAAAACCAAGGTTTTGTCCCGAGTAAGCCAGTGAATGTAGTGGCCATTTACTGAGATGGAAAATACCTGAGAAAATTCTGGTTTGAAGTGGAAATTTGGAGAATTAAGAGGACAGATAATGTTTATAGATACCTATTAGAGACCCAAGTGAAGAAGTCATCTATGCAATTGGAAAAAAGTCTGGAGTTAGAGACAGAAGTGAGAGTGGATAGACATTTAAGTGTGGATAATCTATAGATGATAATTAAAGCTGTGGGAAAGGGGATGAAATCACTCAGGGACTGAGCAGATGGTGAAGAACAGTCTACTACTCAGACTTAGAACATACCACATTTCAAAGGCAAGAAGAGAGCCTGCAAAGGAACCCAAGAGAGAGAAGAGTATGATATGAAGGATAGAATGGTCAACTATATTAAATGCTAGTGAGATGTCAAGTAAGATAAAGAATTAACCACTGGATGTAACAATGTGGAAGTAGTCTTTGGTATTAGTGGAGTGCTAGAAAACAAAATGTGATTTGATGAGTTCAAGAGAGAATGGACTAGGGAAGTAGCAACAGTTTTATCAGGAATGGCTCTTGAGAAGGCTGCTGGGGGGAGCAAAGGATAAGAAACTAGAAGGAGATAAAAGGGTAAGTAAGATTTTTGTCATTTTTGTTTGTTGCAGTGTGTAAAGTTCATCCTTTGTTAAAAAGTACAAGAAGGGGCCTCCCCTGGTGGCGCAGCGGTTGAGCACTGGGCTGTGAAGCTGCCCGCAGCCTCTGCAGCGCTGGTTCCATCCCCGGCCACCAGTGAGGGTCCCACATGGTGCGCAGACCTCTCCTGCTGCGCCCGCTGCTCCCCTCAGCAGTATATTTTGTCAGTCTGCCTTTTCTGTTCCCCACTCTGGCTCTGGTGAATTCTCTCACCCTCCCGCGCTTCTGACTGTACCTAGTGCTTGTATAAATAAATAAATAAATCTTAAAAAAAAAAAAATAGAAGGCAGAATATATGGGTTCAGATGCTAGTTACCTGGTAGACTTGATGGTAAGAGGATAAAGTTCTCTTTTAGTTGCTTCTATTTTATACTCAGGGAAATAAAACAGAATCATGAGCTGAGAAACCAAGACTGAGGAGAAAGAACATATTGTGAGTTTGAGAAGCAGAGAGAAGGTGTGAAATAATCATTGTGGAGAGTAGGTTGCCTTGGATTTAACATCCTTTTAGACTCTGAGATAAGAGTGTGATCTCAGGAATACCAAGTGTCTTTATAGATGTTCTGCTAAAAAGAACCAGAATAGGAATAGTTCGGGCCAAAATTCATTAAGTATGGGATACCTTCATAATTTCTTCAGGGAATATATAAAATCGTTTGATAAATTCCAATTTAAAAAATTTATGAATATATTTTCCTGGTTCAGAATGCAAAAGGAATAAACATGAAAGCAATGAGTCTCCTTCCCTTGACTCTCCTGCCATCTAGTTCCTTTCCCTGGAGTGTGGCAGTGACACTTTTTAGTGTCTTCTTCCAGGAGTACTTTATTGATCCATTTTTAAAAAGCTAAATCTATGCTAGGATTTTTAAATAATCCTATTCCAATTAAATAAATCACTTTAACATGTTAGTAGTGTGCCTGAATCCTCTTTAATATATATAAAAATAATTTCTAAAAAGAGCAAGAAAGACCGCCTGCTATAAACTGACTCCATAATGTTGGCAGCCATCTGGCAGGAGTTGTATCTGTTAGATTTTTCTTAAGAAATATGTATATTTAACAAGGTTCTTTTTCTTTCTTTGTCTTCACAGCTGACCTAGCATCTTTAATGGATAAAACATATGAGAGAAAGTTGCCTGTTAGTTCTTTAACAATATCCCGGGTAAGAAAATTTAAATATACACACATTTATTTTTTTCTCCCAAAGAAGGAGGAAGAAAGTAAGGAAGTCTCTTTATGTAGATGAGGCTGGGTAGATTAAAAAAACTTTCATAAGAGATATTTTTCCAGAGTTTGATATGTATAGTTGCTAATAGATATTTTATGATAAAGTAAAGCAAATTTCTTTGACTAAAATAAAAGATAATAAATTTACCAGTATCAATGATTACTGTTGTGTATCTCATTTATCTTAATTTTTCTGGAATATAATATTCTGGTATATAATAATTTTTTTAAAGTTCATATACCATTCAAAGTAACAGTATTTACGTGTTAATATTGGAAGTGATTTTGGTAGCTGAGAAAGTTTATGAAAAAATGAATGTTAATGTTAAACTGCTACAAAGTAATAGAAGGGAGGATAATATTGTGCTTGGCATCAGGAATAGTAATTGACAGACATCATTGTTGAACACCTTCTATGCCAGATTCTATGCCTGCTTCCTTGTTTTCATTTCTTTTTCTTTTCTCTCTTTTTCTTTATTCATGCAAGCAAAAGAAATATTAATCTTCATTGGGTCACAACCCAAATCCAAATTATTGGTTGATCTATTTTCAAAAAAATTGGAATATAAATTGTTGAATTGAATTTAGATATCATCTGTATTTTCATCATGATCTCCAGTGTCATCAAACTGACTTTATCATCATCTACAGGCTCAAATGTATTATCAGTCTCATTGATTTTACCATGCTCTGGAAGCTTGCTATATACCTTAAAACTTAGAGCTTTATCTGTATTTTATATTCGTTATGTTTATCAAGGTAACATTGGTTACCTTGGTAACACTGGTTTACCACACTGTGTATGTGTGAACACTCTGTATATTCACACCTTTACCAAATGTGTGTTATCACACTATGCCTGCCACCAAAGCCTTAATAATCTTCCACTTTAGTCTATTAGGTCTCCTTCTCCACCTGACCCCCACTTGAGCTCCCTCCCTTTCTGATAGCCTCAGTTCTGCAGCCAGTTTAAAGGCTTTGGTTTGTTTTGTTTTTGTTCATTCTTTGCTTTTTTTTTATTCCAGATATTAATAAAAACATCTGGTGTTTGTCTTTCTTACTTAATTCACTCAACCCCCCCACACATACACTTTATTTTTAATAGCTGAGTAGTATTCTCGTGTGTATTTATATCACATTTTCTTCATCCACTCACCTGTCATTGGGAACTTTGGTTTTTTCCATAGCTTGGCTGTTGTAAATAGTGCTGCAACGAACAAAGGAGTGCATATATTCTCTTCAACTTAGTGGGTTTTTTGTATTCTTCATGAGTGGAATTGCTGGATCATGTGGTATACCTATTTTTGATATTTTGAGAAACGTTACATTGTTTTTCAGAGGGGTTGAATCAGTCTACGTTCCCATCAACAGTATAAAAGGGTTCATTTTTCTCCGCGGGCCCTTACCAACATTTTGCTGTTTCTGGTCTTTTTCATATAAAAAGGCCATTCTCACACATGTGAATAGTGTGTCGTTGTGTTTGATTTGCATTTCTCTGATAAGTGATAATGAGCATTTTTCATGTGCCTGTTAGCCATCTGTATGTCTTCTTGGAGAAGTGTCTATATAGATCTTCTGCCCATTTTTTGATTGGGTTATTTATACTTTTTCTTGTTGTATGAGTGCTTTGTAGATCTTTGACATTAGCCCCTGGTCAAATATATGATATGCAAATTTATTTTCCCACTTGGCAGGGTGCGTCTTCCTTTTAATGATTGTTTCTTTCACTGTGCAACGCTTTTAAATTTTATATAGTCTCATTTACTTATCTTTGCTTTTATTTCCCTTGCTGTGGTAGTTGAATGCTCAAAGACATCACTGAAGTCATGGTCTTGGGGTGTTTTGACCTATGCTTTCTCAGTATTTTATGGTTTCAGGTCTTACAACCAAGTTTTTGGCCCATTTTGAATTAATTGTATGTATGGTGCGAGAGAATGGTCCAGTTTCATTCTTCTGCATGTAGCTGTTGAATTTTCGCAACACTTGTATGTTTTCATTTTACTTGGCTTTCTCCATTGTATGTTCTTTGTCTCTGTGTCATAAATTAACTGTCCATGTAAGAGTTTATTTCTGAGCTCCATATTCTGTTGATCTGTGTGTTTATTGTTTTATTCCAATGCCATATCATTTTGATTACTATAACTTTGTAGCACAGTTCAAGTGTGGGAATGTAATACCTCCTTTTCTGTCAGGATTGCTTGGCTTTTTAGGGTCTTTTTGTGGTTCCATACAAATTTCAGTAATGTTGTCTCTATTTCCTTCAAGAATGCCATTGGAATTTTGATAGGGATCACAATTAAATCTGTATATTGCTTTGGATATGATTGCCATTTCAACAATTAATTCTTCCAGCCTGTGCTTGTTCACTGCTTCTAGTCTGCCATCTTAGAGCAATATCTTCCTGTATTAGTTTTTTTAAAGTGTATTCTCTTGCTTAATTCTCATAGCAGCTGTATAAGATAAACATTATTACCTCCATTTTACATGTAAGACTCAGAATGTTGATAGCTATCTCAAGTTGACACAGCTCCTAAGTGGAAAAGTTTGACTTCAAGTCAATTTTTCTTTTCTGTTTGCCTCCTTCACAATATCTGTTTCTGTCTTTATCATGAATTCACTTTGTGGGCCCCCCTCAGTTTCCTCACTTCCATTATAAGAACAATAGTATCTTCCTTGAAGGGCTGAGATGATGCTAAAATGAAATCTTAGTTGTGAGAGTTCTTTGCATCATAAAATTCAGGGTATTTTTAAATGTAGAGAAGGAAAAGGAAGGAAAATACAGTGAATCCTCACTTTATGTCATCGATAGGTTCTTGGAAACTGCAGCTTTCAGTGAAAACATTTTCTCATTGGAGCTCAGGGCAGATGCCTCTATTCTGTTTATACAGATGGAGGAACTAAGTTCCAGAGGGACTATGCCATCTGTTTATGTCACACAGCAAGCAAACAGGAGAGCTGAGTCTCAATTTCAGATCCTGCGTTTGAACCATATTTTTTCTGCCACTTAATGAGATTTCTACATCAAATCTATAAGTCCTAGGCCTTTGTTGAAGGTCACTTCCTTTTTACTCCTTTCTCACTATGAGGTTTAAATATGTTCACAACATGCATTATCTCCTATTCCATCTTTTTTTGGGGGAGCGGGTCTCTTGAGTCTTAGTCTAGTCCTGTTTGTTCGTTTGGTTTAGAGTTAAGAAACATATTCAGGAATTTTATGATTTGAGGGAGACTTTGTTGGTAGAACAGTCACAGGTTGACTAGCATAGAACTAAATCAGGGTAGGAAAAATGGTTCCCAGACTGAATTCTGTACATTAAACATTTTATCTCTTGAGCAATATTTTTTTCATCCATTAGCGTCTTCATCCTTTTAACTACATATCCCCATGTATTTGGAGGTTGGAATGTGGAGAAAATGTCAGGGTTTAAAGATAAAGGGAAATAGTGATAGGTACTGATAACTGTAGTAGGAGTAGCTCTCTTTTTCTAAGGAGGGTCCATGTTTGATTTTCAGCTTTTCTGACTAAGGTTGTTTTTATAGATAGAAAAAGAGAAGCCATTATATACCTTCTGTTTGTGTTATCATAAAGGGGTTTCTAGGATGGAGCCACACCACATGCACTTTGTTTTTTAAGGTCAGTGTATGAGTTAGACCCAGTATATGGCATGATTTGTATCTAATCAAAGGTTTCTTTTTCTGTATTTTAGTTTGTGGATGGCATTTCATCACGAGAAGAGATAGACCATGCAGAATATTATCTTTACAAGTAAGTTTTTCATTAAATTTGACTATACACACTGCTACTTCACACCTATTTTTAATATAGAAAGTGACATGTATTGTATAGAATGTCCAGCACCTTGCTTTTTAAATTTGTTTTTGAGATCTTTTCACACCAATATTTAGAGCACTTCCACATGTTTTCATGCATTCTTTTTTACAGACTTTAGATTTTGTATCTAGTCTCCTAAATGTAAATTTGTAATTTCAGTAGCTGTGGCCCAGTTGCTCTCCATCAGGGTTTTACCTGTTTATGTTCCCATAGGCAAAGTATAAGAAAAGCCTGTTTTTACAGCTTGGCCTATAGGGGTATTTTCTTTCACATTTTTGAATTTTTTTGTTTAAGTCAGATAGGTAAAAAATTATGTTATCTGTTTATCTCTCTTCTTTTTTAATTGAGATGGACATACACTCATATACGCTATTTGGCACCTATTTTCATTAACACTATATTTCAAAACTTTTCTATTACTTGATTTTCTTCATTTTTTTCTCATAGCTGTGATCAGTTCAACTGTGAAGTACAGATACTGACCCATGTGTAAAAAGAAGCATATTCAGCCCAGCACTATTTATAGTAGTAAAAGACTGGAATAACCTAAAGCTTGTTAAATAGGGGACTAGTCAAATAAATTATGGTTTTTCCTTGTAGTTGATTTGTTTACCTATCAATTATCTGTCAAAATGATACTTTACAACTACCTACCTTTTTATTGTACTTTAAAAATTTTGATTGATGATTTGTTTTAATTCTTAGGCTCTAAAAATAGACGCAGATTTAAATTTGAATTGTTTCCAGTAAGCATTGCATTAAAATTTCCTATTTGATCCTTTTTTTGATCAAAAGAGTTTTCAGTTATTTCCATTTGGATATATGTTGAAGAAATTTCTTTTTAGTGAAAACTTATTTATTATATTTGATTTTGCTTGTAATGAGGCTTGTTTTTTTCCTGAATTGGGTAAATTCTACATTTTTTTGGTGTTTTCTGTTTAAGTATAAATCTAAAGTAGATTAGATTCCACATGATAAAAAACAGCTAAGTCCAGGATTACCTTTACCAATATCCTGAGTTTAAATTCTAGGTCCTGAAAACTTATTTGCAAGTTCCCTACTACTCTTAGTTAAGCTAAACAGAAATGGATCTCTTCATGAGAGTAAGTCCTGCCTCCCTTTACTGTTCTTTGATACTGTAGGTCTCCATGATAGTTATTTTTACCTATGGAGCAAGGTATATTTGGTCTGACATCTGCTCAGTTCTTATTCTTATGCTTTGTTTGTGGCAAAACACAGAGAATAATTCTAATTTCTAAACAGAAAACTGTTTCTTAGAATTCTTTCCTTTGGGGCACAGTGCCTTAGTCTTGGGAAAATATGTCCCAAATTTGCAAGTACCTCTACATAAGCTAAATTTCAGTGATTCAACATGTTACACCTACTGTGGCACCAGGCTCTGTCCGTGGTGCTGAGCACATAGTGATCAATAAGTCAGACACTGTCCCTGTCCTCTTACATTAAAAGCTTAACTGTGAAGTTCAAGTCCTGCCTTTAAGACCTTCATGTTTAGTTCTTCACATGATGTCTCGTTTTGTGTGGCCTGGAGTCTTACTGAAAGTTTCATAAAAATTTCTATTTTCGGGCCTCCCTGGTGGCACAAGGGGTTAAGACGCAATCTCTGAAGCTGTCCACAGCCTCTGCAGCTTGAGTTTGATCCCCGGCCAGCCAGGGAGCAACCCACATGGCGCAGCAGACCTCTCCTGGCTCGCCCGCTGCTCCCTCAGCAGTGTACTTTGGTCATTCTGCCTGTTCTGTTCCCCACTCTGTCTCTGGTGAATCCTCTCACCCCCCCACCCCTCTGGCCTATACCCCAGCTCTTGTATGTATAAATAAATAAATTTAAAAAAATTCTGTTTTCCTGTTTCCATGTAGAAGATATAGATCGTATAGATGATTTTTCTCCATCTTAAATCTGAACCACCATTTAAAAATCACATTCTTTGTTTTAATCAAAACTAATGTTCTAAGTGTCCTCATCACTTTTTAGATTTCTGTTCTCTCTTTCATTGCCAAGAAAATTAGTTCTTTTTTTTTTTTTTTTTCAGTTTCTTTTTAAGGACAGAACATCTTTATGAATTCATAAGATTATTGTGTGTGTGAGACTAGGTATTTAACTCCATAAAGCTCCATCAGGATGTAGATGTCAGAGGTTGGCTAGATTCACTGACTAGCTAAGTGTGCCTCATTTCTGCTTTCCAGCATTAGAGTAGACAGAATATTGTAATGCCTCAGCCAAATTAAAAATTACAGTTATGAATTCTTGGGGTTTCTCTCCAGTAATCAAAATCAAGAGCATTAATTGTGAAGACACCAAGGGTCTGTAGTATTTGCACAAGTTAGGTCTTCAGCATTCATTTGGTTGCTGTGCCTAACATCCTCACACAGAATAACTGCAGACATCTCAGGGTAAACTTAAAATTGCAGGTCTAGAGGGAGAAACACAGAGGCAATTTCTAAGCCTACAATTAGCAGCTTCTTGCTGGCCAGTCCTGAGGATACCTCATTCTCCAGACAGTATTGTCTTTGAGGGTGAGGACCTGAACAGGACTTTCAACTGCACTTCTGCCGGAGAACTCATGCCACAAAAATGTTTAGAATCCTGTTGTGAGACTTTGCTTAAAGAAAGCCTTTTACTTAGGTTTATGTCTTGCTTCTTAACCCCAGGCCTTTTGAAGTTTTCTAGATCTTTATGTTTTCTTAGGAATAAGGCTTCTTTTTATTTTGGTTTAGATCTTATAGAATAAGACAATCATAGGGCCTCCCCAGTGGCGCAGTGGTTGAGTGCTGGGTTGCAAGACTGCCCACAGCCTCTGCTGCACCGGTTCAATCCCCGGCCACTGGGTGAGGGTCCTGCATGGCGCGCAGACCTCTCCTGCCGCCCGCTGCTCCCCTCAGCAGTGTACCTCGTCATTCTGCCTGCTCTGCTCTCTGCTCTGACTCTGGTGAATTCTCTCACCCACCCATGCTTCTGACTGTACCCAGTGCTTGTATAAATAAATAAATAAATCTTTAAAAAAAAAAAGAATAAGACAATTATATGGTTGATATGTGTTCTGTTTTCCAAATGAAAACAAATAAAACCAGTCTCTTAAGTTTCTCCACTGGAGCAGGAAGAAAGTGTGGGGAAAAGTGAAAAGGTCTAGACAGATCCTGAGATGCTGTTCCTTAGGAGACCAGTGCTAAGATGGGCAGGAACATCTCTGTTTGATTTTGGTGTCTCTCCGTTCCCCCTGCCTTCTATGCATGGTGAGGGGAGAAGCTACCATGTTTCCCATTAGTAGAGAAAGTTTTGTGGCACCGAGGGGGAAGTTAAGAGAACAATACAACTGATGGCAGCTGAGAGTAAGAACCATCCTGTTGGTGATCTGATTAGTGGGCATTACAAATTGATTGCTTATTTATGCTTTAAATTTTTTATAAGAGTTTTTTTATCCCCCTTGTTAATTTTTAAAAACTTGAGCAAACTTTTTTTTCTGACACATAGGATTAATTCCTGCTTCCTGTTCACTTTTTCTCTTTTTGATTTTCTACCTCTGCTTTGCTATAAATTTATAGCAATCGTAAGCATCTTTATTTTACTGATGCAAAAGATTAACGCATAAAAACTCACTGAGTACACCCAAAGTAGGAGGTATATATGTGTGTATATGAGCAATGCCCTGCCCTGACCAGAGAAGGGAAGCCCTGGGATGAAATGTGAACACTGGGACAGTGTTATGAAGACACTTTTTTTCCCAGGGCCACATATTATCAGTAAGGCTCCCAGATGGGGCTTCGCTTTATTTTTAGGGGAACTGAGGCAGAAGGGATTCCCATGAAGAGCTGAGTCAAGAGCCTGATAGGGCAGGAGAAAAATTAAATTAAGGGTAAGAGGAACTCCTTTGTGTTTTCTGTAGTCTGTGGGTTTTGTCATTTGTTTTCTAAGAATCATGTCTTTTTTGAGGGGAGTGGCTCCTTCCTGGGCCACATTGTCAATAGTTCTGAGTTTATGATTCTCCAAGTTGATGTGCACAGCCCACATGCAGACAGGTGAGCCCTGAGGCAGGTTCTATGTCTCCATCTTCAGGAGATAAAGCTGCCTGTCATCAGCAAAATTGCAACCTCAGTGAAAGCTGTTATTTTCATGTTTATAACAAGCTTTAATAATTTCTGTATTCATTTTTGATTGTTGCATTAATAGAATGCAAATTCAAGCCATAAAAATTCCTTTTTACCAAATGTTATCTTCTTCATGGATATGTTTGCAAATTACATTTTTAAAGGCTTATTTAGACTTTCAAATCATTTCAGAACCTTGACAGTTTAGAGATGCATGAAATTAGACTTGCTTCTTTTACTATCAGAGCATCAATAATAAGAAGTGATAATTTAATCTGCAGCATAATGATCATTCTTATGGAGAAGTGATAGAAATTTCTAACATATATATTCTATTTTAAGAATATAAATATTCTAAAATGTAGCCTTTTAGTTTTTAGCAAAAGATGGGGAATGCTGATTTAATTATTGTGCAATAAGAAAAGAGTGTTGCAGTTCTCCATGGGAAGGCCTGTTTTTCTCAAATACAGCTCTGTTGTCATGGAGAGTGGCATGCCACCCGTTAATGAGAGAGGAAGTCAAGGTTGTGAGGCAGGTGATGTGCTGCCAACACGTTCATCCTCTCTGTACCTTGGCCTCAAGCATCTTTTATCATTTGCTTAACTGACCTGGCAGATACCAGGCGTCCCTGGTTGGAGACGGATGGCAGGTCAGGAACAGCTGGGGCAAGGCAGATGGCAGTCTGCATGTCTCCAAGTCCCAGGTTGGCAGCCAGCCTAAAAAGAGAGGACCAAAATAGCTTCATTTTCCAATAAGCAGTAAGTGGTTCCTTAGAAGGTGAGTGTACTATCCCGAGCCGATGGTTCAAGAATCCATTTCTGCCTATAGGCAGA